ATCTACAACCAGCTACTTGTCTCCCCTTCCATCTACCCATCATCTACTCCATCACCTACCCCAGCCCCACTGAGCAGGACTGGCCACCACTCTCACAGAGACTTGATTATTCTCATTCACCTAGAGTTAGCAGGTAAGGTCCCATCTGGGCCTGGCATGTTCTTTTTCTCTGTCTTTGGCCCAAATAGCCCTTCTACCAGCCTGGTCAAAGTCCTGTCCTGGACCTGAGAGCCAAGAGCACTTGCTCATGGGACCCCGCCCTCTCGGGAGGGGCGCACTCTGTCCTCCACTCCCTGGGTCTCTGGGTTCCTCCTGAGTCAGTCAGTCTGCACAGTCAAGACCACCAACACCCCAAAGGTGGGGTAGTGTCTGAGGTGTGTCTGTGGCCCCAACTCCCATTTCGCCCCTGGCCCAGGTTCCTCTCAGCACCTTTAGACTTGTGAACCCATGGGGGAGAGCACCTAGAGGGTAAGAAGGGAAAGCCCTCAGCGATGACTCTGTGAAGTTGCCTCGATGCACTGAGAAGAAAACCCAGATGCACGGAGAGCATTTGAGGCCAAACCCAAACCTCCTACCGAGAGCTCTCTGCTTGCCCCACCACAGCAAGCAGAAGCAACTTGGCAAAGACCCACGGCGGGTTGCCAGGAGATGGGAGGCTCTGCTGAAGGGGCCCTTGGACTTGGGATCCAGAGTGAGCTGCTTGGCCTCTCTGCGTCGGCCTCCTCGTCCGCAGCATGCAGTCTATGCAGGATCGTGAGGAGGGTTAAATGGGGAACACACAAGCCAGCCTGGGCCCAGAACCAGGAGGCTCAGGGGAACAGGGCAGAGCTGTGGCAGGGCACCCCTCTCAAAGACGAGCAGGACGTGGGTGTCATGCAACAGGCACTCAGCCAGGCAGCCCCTCGTGTAGCCCGAGCCTTGGAGGACCTACAGCGCCTCACTCCCATACCGCCAGGCACCCTCCGAGCTGAACACCTGCCCTGGGCCTGGGAGCAAGGTCAGCACAGGGTGTGAGGACCTCAGGGTGTGCGCAGAGTGCCTGCGGGTGGAGTGGGAAGCTCCGTACGGAGAGCCGGGCTTTGGGGTGAGAGATAGCCAGACAGGAGCTTGGCCGTCATGGTCTCACTGGGCAACCTCAGGCAAGTCCTTTTCTTTCCTTGGCCACACTGACCAGCTGTAGCTAAGGAGCTTCATCTTGCTTCCCTCTGGCACACCTGTGACCGCCTTCGCCACGGCAGCAGCACACAGCGGTTGTAAAGATCACACGAGATCCGGTGGACGGCACCGACAGAAAGTCAGGCCCACAGGGATGCCCAAGACAGGAGCAGGGGCCAGCTCGCGCCTGTCACAGAGGCTCATCACCAAAGCAGGAAGGCTCTCTGTCTCGAAAGCTTGGGCCTGTGGCTCCAAAGGGTGTAGTTGTGAGCACACCCTGTGTCATGGGCCCCTCTGCAGGCACCCAGCTGAGTGCGGCAGCCTCCCACCCAGCCCTCACCCCCGCCCGCCACAGTCAGTGTTCTCCAAACTCTCTCCAGGTGTGATCCAGTCACAAACAGCCCCTCCTGGGGGGCCTATAAGGTAAACAGGCCCCCACATTCCCCTGTTTCTGGGACTGAGGACCCCATCAGAGGTTCTGCATCCTCCGGGGACAGGCTGAGCGTGAGCATCCCCACGAAGCTCTAGTGCTGAGGAATTTCCAGATGGGGGAAAAGTCCAGAGGGGGCGTCAGGGCCTTGGAGCAGCTCGGCAGAGTGAGACAAGCCCTGACCTTGGAGTCTGACCCAGCTTTTAGGCCCATGTTCACCTCCCCAGGCAGACCACTAACCCTATAAAATGGAGGTAAGAACCCAAAACAAAGCCTTCCCCATCACCTGCCTTGCCCTGAACTCTGAGGAACTTCATAAGCACCCAGTGGTATGCTGGCCCCAGGTAACCTTCCCAACCCGCAGCCAGGGCCCCCGCACTTCCCTGCAGTCATGTCCACAAAGATAACACAGTATCGGGCGCCGTGCCCAAGAAAACCCTACAGGGTGGTTTTAAGTTCACTGGCAAAGGAAAATCCAGACTGCAGGTATCCTAACAGGAAAAAGAAAACAATGGGAGACCCAGAGGCCAAGGCAGCTGGGTCCCAGACATGACCCACTCCTCACCCACTGTGGAATGAGTCCCCTACAAAACGGGGTCTCATGAGAATCAGTGCTAACGTTCAGGGGAATCTGGCTCACACTTGGATGTTGACTCAGTGGCCCATTCAAAGTGGTCAGAGCCACACCTGGCGTAGGAAAGGTGTTGGGTCGATATCAGAACTGCCCGCCCCCTTCTCAGTGCCAAGTGGGCAAGTCCAGTCTTTCCGCTGAAGGGCTGCATGCAGCACACTAGCTCTTGGGTGCGGGGAGCCACGTACTCTGCAGATTTTGGTTTCTACATTGAGCAGAAATGACCCAAATAGTTGGGCTGTTGATAAGAGCGGTGTGAACCTGGACCTACCCTAAAATGCTCCAAGCCCAGTCGGGTGAGGAAGACGTGCAAAACAGCAGGGAGGACACGCTCAGGCCCCAGCGGGTGACTCAGGGCTCAGCATCGAAGGCTCACATCCACCCCAAGGTGAAGACAGCGGCATCAGAACCAGGACTCCAAAGGATGGGTTAAAGGCAATGGGGACAGGAGGAGGATTCAAGGGGAAGGGACAGTGCCATCAAAGGGTCACTTGTGTGGGGGCTGAGCACTGTGGGGCGTGGCTGACAGAAGGCATGACTGAGACACTCCAGGACTGGGCTGCCAGAGCAGGCAGGGCCCTCCTCCAAGACCCTGACACAGCAAACCTGATTCAGATTTTGATACTTGACCTTCAGACTGACAGCCTGGAGTGCTGCCAGGGTACAGCAATTGGCCTGTCCAGGCTGACTATTGCTCCATCTGCACATATGTGGCTTGGAGGGGCCCAGGCCACCTAGAGAGGAAACAGGCCAGCTTCCTTATGGCCCAGCCCCAAATTCCTCCCATTACAGGCAAATGGTTTTACTGCTCTCTCCTGATCATAAAAGTAATTCCAGATCACCATTTATAAAAATCACAACACAGCATTTTTGTGTGTATCCTTTCAGACTTTTTCTAGGCATATGATCATATTTCAACATAGAAATATAATCTACAATACAAAAATAAAAATACCTATATGCTAAATCATTTAATACACTGTGAACTTCTCCTGTCAGACACAGACCCTTATAAGTGAAACAGCTGTCCAGCCTCTCATTCTAGTGGACTCCAGGACAGATATTCTGCCATGGCACTACTGATGTCTGGGGATGGATTTGTCATGGGAGACTGTCCTGTGCACTGCGGGATATTTAGAGGCATCCTTAACCTCCACCCACTAGAAGCCAGAAGCTCCACTCCCTCACAGTTTTGACAACCAAAAATGTTTCTAGACTTTGTCAAATGTCTCCTGTGGGACAAAACCACCCTGGTTGGGAATCACTGTTCTAGAGTAAAAAGACAAAGGTTAAAGAAACAAAACTCCATTGAACTTACATATTTTATATTTTTAAGATTTTACTTATTTATTTTTAGAGAGAAAGGAAGAGAGGGAGAGAAACATCACTGTGTGGTTGCCTCTCACATGCCCCCTGATGGGGACCTGGCCAGCAACCCAGGCAAGTGCCCTGACTGGGAATCAAACCAGCGACCCTTTGGTTCATAGACCGGCACTCAATCCACTGAGACACACCAGCCAAGGCTGAACTTACATTGTTCACATTTCATCTTCAACTTCCACAGGTGGCTGGGTGGCTATGTGTGCATCTGACAAATGACAAACTCAGGGGTGTGTGGGGGCGCTGGCACAGGACGGAGCCACCATTCACACAGAAAGGGAAGGGCTGGGTCCCTGCAGAGATGCAGAGTGGCCCTGCCTGGTGTGTGTCCCATGGGTTCCTGGTGGTACCCAGAGAAGGCCAGGGCTCTGCAGTACCACCCCCTGCCCACTTTGGTTTCAATCAAAACACTTTTACATATTTCATATACTGAGGAAGTCAGTTTCGTTTGTTAAAAAGTAAACAGATTCTGTTGCTTCCCCCTACCCCCTCCAAGAAAGTTATCACTGAAATCATGGGGCACTGCAGGGCAGGCAAGAGCCCACAACGCCAGGGGCGTGGCACCCACAGAGTCTGTGAGGGCAGGCGAGAAGCTGGAAGAGGAAAGGGAGGAAGAGGGGAGTGATGGCTAGAGGTGGGCGAGAAGCCTGTTTACCTGTGGGGTGGTGAAAATGTTCTAGAATGAGAGAGGGATGATGGTTGCAGTAATTTAAAAAATAAAAGCCTGAGAGGCTGTGCTTGAGCAACAGCCCCGGGATTCACCCCGCCACCCGCTGCCACCCCAGGCTCAGAGAGGTGGGTGCAGGGTGAAGGCTGAGAGCCTAGAGCCACACTTGTGTGTCGAAAGGGCCGAGAGTAAAAGCAGTGTGTGGGTGTGCCTGCACGTGCAAGTGCATGGCTGCGTTCTGTCCCTGTGAGACACTTCCTACCCTCTCCCCACACACACTTCTTGCCTGTGCCCTTCATCCCACAGGTCCGGGATGACCGCCTCTAGATGAGGGCAAAGAAAGACGAGCTGTGGCGATCAACTCTGAACAGGCAGAATGGCCCCAGGACCCTGGGGAGAAGGGCCAGGCCTCTGACCTGGGAGCTGAAAGCATCCCCGTGATGCTCCAAGAATTATGTGCAGGCTACAAAGGACAAACACCCTGCTCAACGGTTCCCCCTGGTCGGGTCTCCCACTGAGATGCACCTTGCGCCCTATGGCCATTTCCTTGGTGCACACACAGGCATGTTTCTGTGTGTGTTGCACACGGGGATTATTATGCCCGTGGTAGGTACTGTATTTGACCATGTATACTGTGCACCATGTTTTTGGCACAAACTTTCAGGGAAAAAATCTTGCATTTTAGTTTTTTAGTTCAATTTATTTATTTATATTTAGAGACTTGGTTTTGTGTTATAAGGAATTTTAGCCTTTATTTTTGAACATACTATGGTACAAGAAATTTTATGTAACAAATAATTATGAAACACCAGAACAAATACAAGATATTTCAGGTACTACCCATGTATAATACGCACCCCCCCTCAAAAATTTGGGCAAAACAGTGTGCATTATACGTGGCAAAATACAGGAATCATTGCTGAGAGAGGGGCAGCAGAGGCTGTTCCGGGGCCTCCAGAGTCAAGTCCATGGACGAGAAGGGCTGACCTGGAAGGATCTCTCTGGGCAGACAGTGGCTGGGAGGTGGGCGCAGGGTGGTGGGGGTGAGGACCTGAGCCTCAGAAGCACAGCTGGATTTGGGAAGCAGTGGGCACCTCAGAGAAAGAGACCACACAGGACCAGGGCCCTGGCCTGGGACCACTGTCTTCTTGCTGAGCCCAGGGGACCCAAGCCTCAGAGTACATCGGCCCATCCACTCCCCCAAAGAGCCTGAGAGAATGGTTCAGGTCTGAGTTTCTGGTCTTTGGGAAAAAAAAGGGGGGGGCCACCCACTAGCAGAGTGTGTTCAATTGTCATATTACACTATATTCACCAAACTGCACATGGTCTTTTCCACATGACCCACATGAAAATATGCCTCATTTTAAAAACTTGACTGCATTTATTTATTATATTTTATTGATATACCATTAACTACTGAAACAGTCCTGATGGATCAATACCTTGTTTCCATGGCAACAGTGGGATGGAACGTGGTGCATCAACAAGCTGGCGAGCCTCCTCCTACAGCCCCTCCCTGCTCCTCCCCGGTGGTCTGACCAGACCTCCCTGTGTCCACACCACCCTGAATCTGCATGTCCAATCACCACGTCCCTGGGATAAATTCCTAGCAATGGAATTTTTAATGAATGGGTTATACACATGAATTTGGATAGTTTGTGCCAAACTGTCCAGAAAAAGGCTTAATTTTATGCAAGTTTTATACATGTAAATTTGAAATTGCATGATTTTAAAAACCATGAGAGTCCCCCTAAACTTCAGCTTTTCAAGGGGAACCACAAAATTTCACAGTCAGCTGATGGAGTGAATCATACTTTCTTGTTTGGCAATAGAAGCCAAAACAGAGGAGGGAGACAGGACTGGTTTTCACAGGAAAGATACAGATGATGTCATTTGTCCAACCCACATGTGGTCACAGCAGGGTGCCATCCATAAGCAGCTCAGTTTTCTGTTTTTTGTCAAAAAACAGTGACAGGATGAGTCCCAGGCTGTGGCTGGGCAGGTGCAGCGTCTCCTTTGTGAAAGAATTCTGTTGACTTCCCTGGTTCCTCCTATTTGGGGGAGATAATATGGAGAAAAGGCTGAAGAGAAACTAACACCTCGGAAGTTAAAAAGTCCATCAGGCACTGGGCTGACAAGCTAGAACTTCTAAGGTCCGAAGCTGAATAAAGCGGTCCTACTATTTGACACTACAGCACCCCCACCCCATCATAGATGGCCTTTTACTTATTTTATCTTTTTACAAACATTTGCAGTGTTTACTGTGTCAGGTGACATTCTAAGCACTTAACACATCAGATCCCATTTATTCTCATGACGAGATATTATGCTCATTTTACAGATGAAGATACTGAGGCACAGGGACATTCGGTGTCTCGTGCAAGGTTGCAGAGCCTGAACATGGTGTAGTTGGGGTTCAGCCCCAGGAGCTTTGACTCCATTTAACACAACAGTGATGAATCACTTAAATGCTACAGATAATTAATAAAGATTTTAAGGTTGAATGTGTGCTTTTTCATTGTAAACTATTCAAAGATAAAGGATTGTCACTATTGTTGGGTTCTTACATTGTTGACTCTTGATCATTGGGAATTAATAAAAAGTGGTGCTGACATAGTTCAGCATAAAGTGCTTTTGTGCTCAGGACTTTTGTCCTCAGTCAGGCTTTCTAACAAGGAGGCTGGGGGAGGTTAAGCTGCTTCCCCAGTGCCTGCCAGCTGGAACCTGAAAGAATCAAAATTCAAACTCAGACCTGGCAAGCCCAGAATTTACGCTGTGGAGTCCACCACGTGACCTGTGTTTGGTGGGCATGTGTGTTGGGGCAGATCAGATCGACATATCCTTTGACCGCCAATGATTTCGGCCACAGGGTGACTGTGAAAACAGGGTCATATTAGGACACAGTCAGCAGCCACACGGCAGAATTAGTTTTGATGCGAAACTGCATGTTCTATGAGCTGCTGGCCCCAAAGGTTGCTCATCTGAAGTAACAATGCTCGCGACAACCAAGGAAAGTTGCCAACTTTTGAAGGAAAATTCAAATTCCTCTAACTGGCTGTGTAGCTTAAGCAAACCATTTGAGCTTTCTCAGCTTCGGTTTCCTCACCCTTAAACAGGAAGTTTATACTCTCAGAACAAATTAAGTCCATGGGCCAGGCACTTCACCAGGCAAAAGGGAAACAATAGCAGCCCAAGCCCTGAAACTTACAGAGGGTGGAGATTGACCAAGAGCAACCACATTGATGTCTTTAGGATAAATACCATATAATGAGACATGCTATGCAGAGGATTAAGATAGAGTGTAGTGACAGAGTGAGTGTGACAAGCATAGAATAAGTGGTTGGGGAAACCATCTCTGAGGGGACCTTTCAGCTGAAGTGTGAACACTAATGAGACGGGGATGGAAGAAACAGCTGGTGCAAAGGCCCTGAGGCAGTGATGATCAGCCTGGGAAGCTCAGGGAACTGAAAAGCAGCCAACACACCTGACTAGGGATGTTGGGCCAATTTTAAGTGATGCTATGAGGTTCAATTTGATTCTAAATGTGATGGGAAGCCAGAGTTTTAAGTAGGGGAATAAAATAATCTGATTTGCATGTTTCACTGCCACTCTGACTGCTGTACAGAGAACGGGAAAAGGAGTAGGGAGGAGAAAGAGAGAAAGAAAGATTAGCTTTTCTGGTTTGCGTCTCAAAAACCAGAAACTTCAGCTTCATAACACAGGAACCTAATGCAATTTCTCTTTTCTATTAGGTCAGGAAGCCAGGATGCGCATGGTGGCACGAGATGCTGGGTTCAGACAAGTACATGGCGCTGCAGAGAGGCTGGGCTTACCACTCTGGTGTGCGCAGTAGAGCGAGAGACCTCCGTGTTCTCAATTTCAAGCCCTTTCTGCATCCCCCTGAACCACTTCTTGTATTCCATTCGCACCTGCAAGTGGGAGGGAGGTACATGGAGGCTTGTGTTACATTCAGAGTTTGGCTCTGAAGGAAGGACCCTAAAATAGGAGAGTAAAGATGTGAATGCCCAGCCTTGCTCTCTACAGCTCTTCCCATTGGTTTACTGTGGAATGTTGGCCATGCTTGTGTTGATTTATTTTATTTAAATTTGACTTCCTCAGTCATAGAAAATGTGCTTACTGAATGTCAAGGACCATAAGACTTTATATATAGCAATAATGATGGAAGTGACAGTGGCGGTGAAAATGGTGGTGAAGGTGGTGGTGACAAAAATAGCACAGGGTGGTGGTTATAAAGGTGATGATGGTAGTGATAATGAAAGGGAATATGGTCATGATGGTGATGATGGTGACAGCAAAGGTAATGATGGTGGTGACTGTGATGGTGATAAAAACTAGCTATGTTGAATGCACATATGTACAATATATCACTTAATTCTATCAGTAAGGAACTTCTTGTACCCAGACACCATTAAAGATGAAGAAATTGAGGCTCTTGGAGATATATTGACTTGTCTAAAGCCACAGAACCAGCCTTCAAAATCTTGTCATTCCCCCTCCAGAGCCCTGATACTAAACCACCGATGTGATTCCACGAGTTGTCTTCCTTTAACCCCCTTAAAATTATAAAGGACATCTGAATAGTTAATACTCAACATTAATTTACCAAAACATTTAAGGTGTACTTTACTTCTGTGTGTAAGGAGTACTAAGCATTAAGAAGGCACTGACAAACAAAAAAGAAATTAATGAAGTGTTAAAATGTCATTTTGTCACTTGCATCTTAATTGCTGGTAGTTCCACTCATTAACAAAGGAAAAAAGCCAGGAAAACTGTTCCCAGTCTTCTGTGAAGAGTAAAATTATAATAATGACCTTCACTGAGAACTTGGTGTATGGCGAGGACTGTGTGGAGCTTGATATTGAATTGGCATTGAATTATCTCATTTAATTATTGATGTGAGATAGATACTGCCACATTTTCAAATGAGCAAACTGAGGCTCAGAGAGGGAAGCAGCCTGCCCAAGTTCACAAGCAACCCACTCAGTGGAAAAACTAGGATTAAACTCAGTTTATGGTAGATTTTGCCAAATATGCCAGTGCCCTCCATGAAGTACCCCTCACTGCAGGAGGATTAGTCATCCTCTCTCTGGTGAATTCAGGTTTGGCCATTTGACTTGCTTTGGCCAATGAAAGAGAGCTGAGCTACTCAGTGCTGTGATCACCTTTCCCTTTGCCATGAGAGCACTGATGGGTGCTGCCCCTCAGCCTGCATCCCCAGATGAAGACAATGTAGCGCATGTAGCTCTGTCGCAAGAGCAAGAAATAAATCTTATTGTTGTAAGTCCCTGACATTAGGGGTGGGGGCACTATTTGTCACTGCAGCAGAATCTACCTTATCCTGACTGATGACATGCTGTGCTATGAACTGGTTTGTCCTCCACTCCCTAAAGTCATATATTCAAGGTGTAGCCCAGCAATGTGACTGACTTTTAGATATGGCCTTTATAAAAGCAATTAAGGTTAAATTAAGTCATAAGGGTAGAGTCCTGATTCAATAGATTGTGTCTCTACCGAAAGAAGCATGAAAGCACTCTCTCAATCTCTCTCCCATGTGAGGACATAGCAAGAAGGTGGTCGTAGGCAAGCCAAGAAGACGGATCTCACCAGAACCTGACTGGTGGCACCCTGATCTCAGAATTCCAGCCTCCAGAATTCTGAGAAGATAAACATCTGTTGTCTAAGATACAACAGGCCTCTGCTATTTTGTATGGCTGCCTGAGCAGTTGAATGCATGATCCTAAGAGATATGCTCAAATGGTAAATGTTAGAAAACTAAATGAAACCCAGAGCACATGGCAAAAAAACAAGCAGCAGCTCAATCCCTTTCCCAGAATCAAGACAACCTCAAAATATTAAAGGTCAGAGAAGAACAAGAAATAAACAACTATTCAATAAAGCTCAGAGACAAAGTAATTAGCTTTACCTGGCGATTAAAGAGACAGTATACCACAAAGAGCAAAACCCCCTGCAGGACATTGATGATGGTGAACATGTAGGCAACGACTGATCCAATTGTCTTCCCAACTTCATCAACCATAAAAAAGCCAAGGCTCCAGGAACAGCCCAAGATAAACAGCTGAGCAATGGCTTTAAATGTCATGACCCTGAAAAGGAAAAAGAGTAAATTACTACCATTCATGAGGGACTCAGTGCTTGCTAGGCACTGTGCTCAGTTCTTTGCATGCTTCACTTTATTGAAACTTCCTAACAACCTCAGGTGGTTAAGTGGTTCCACAAAGGTATGTGTCTTGAACATTTGGCAGTGCCCATGTTTTCAATTATTGCCTCTGAAAATAACACTTTCTTCTACCCTTGGAAATGATTTCCCTGCAACGTCTCTTACCTGGACTTATTAAAGGATTTGTAGAAAGTGCATTCTGAAAATTTGTATTGAAAAAATGTGGCCCTGGCTGGTGTGGTTCAGTGGATTGAGCACCAGCCTGCAAACCAAAGGGTCGTTGTTCAATTCCTAGTCAGGGCACATGACTGGGTTGCAGGCCAGGTCCCCAGTAAGGGGTGTGCAAGAGGCAACCACACATTGATGTTTCTCTACCTCTCTTTCTCCCTTTCCCTCTGCCTAAAAATAAATTAATTAAATCTTTTAAAAGAAAAAATGTGGATGATGATGATATCATACATTCAGAACACAACAGTGTTGGATTTCTTCAAACAAAAATTGTGTCTAGAGTGGCATTGTTGATGGCCACTGGCTAGGTAAGCTGATGTGTGTAAATGTGTGTGCACATTGTTCTGTGTGTGTGTGTGTAAAAGTATGGAGGAACACTGAGAAGGGGACATTCTGACCCTCCAGGATCAAAGAAACTGAGGCAGAGAGGTTAGATTGGTCTCCTAAGTACATGAGATCAAGGGCAGGGTCTAAAGTTAGACAGAAATTCCTTTAAGTTTTGTCCACATGACTCACCAATGCAAGGCTCTTGCTCTTGGGTGAGATGAGCAATTTGTTCCTATTATCAATGGGGATGTTAGTGCTGACCATCAGAGAAGTTGGTGTCATGACCATTCAATGAATCAATCTTGGTAAATGCCCAGCATCTATGGAGTTCCTAGTTAATATGAGTTGCCAGCAGTATTTTTAATAATTTAATTCAGTACTAATGAGAATTATTTCTACAACCAAGGAAAATAGAATCCAAAAGTGGGTGGACTCTCAGGGATAAAAGGATAACGTTGATACTCTTGGCTACATAAATGAGGCACTCAGTGAATATTTACTGAATAAAGAGATGAGAGAATACATGAAATTACCTGAAAATTATAGGTCTTACTTCTATAAGTTTTCCCTCATGTACTCCTTATTACACTACCAGGAAATTTTATGTCACTTTTGTATAGGGTTCTCTCTTTCCGGCAGAGTTGTCCTATAGTGAATGGCTGATTCTGGTACCTTCTTACCTGCTGTCTTTTTTCTTTTTTTAAGATTTTACTTAGTTATTTTCAGAGAGAGGGGAAGGGAGGGACAAAAAGAGGGAGAGAAACATCAATGTGTAATTGCCTCTCACATGCCCCCTACTGGGGACCTGGCCTGTAACCAGGCATGTGCCCTGACTGGGAATTGAACCAGCAACCCTTTGGTTCTCAGGCTGGCACTCAACCCACTGAGCCACACCAGCCGGGGCTTACCTGGTATCTTGAATGGTGGAAACCTCCTTATTGAGGGAGGAAAGTTTATTTCTCAAAATCCATAGAATTTGAAAGTAGAACATGAAGTTTATCTGTGGAAACAGCATACAAAATTAAGTTAGAATTTTCTTTTGAGGCCATGTCATGCAATCCAACTTGAGGCGAACCTAACAATCCTTCCCCAAAAGATACAGGCTTCATAAGGATGGTAGGGACATATGCTCTGGTCTAAATGGCTCAAGGCATATAATCTGTGGCACTTGGTGCTTGGTACTTGTCTCAGGGTGACTACATAATTTATCATTCAAACCAGGATGATGGATATAAATGGAAAGTCCCTGGCCAACAGAAAAACATGTTATCTTATTCAGAATAGATACTTGCTAAATATTTGTTGAGTACATGAATATAGAATTTTTAAAACGAATGTCCAGGACAGGGTTATTTATGCAGAAGCCAGGGAAAGACACAAGCAACAGTATTTCCAGTAAGGGGGTTGATCACATCAGGCTGTATTTCCTTACTTTCATCTCATTTCCCTTTAACAGATAAACACTCTCTATGCTTGGCTCACCCAGGGCAAGCATACCCATAAGTAACCATCACTGGTCACTTACCAAGATAATGAGAGCCACTGGCCCCATGAAGCTCCAGATGAACCCCTTATCAAGCTTGAGCCAGCAGCTGTTGAGAGAAAGATATGGATTCACTGATTATTTCTCAGGGAAAAAGGTGGAGGGGGGGGCAGGGTCAATATACATTCCTGTAACAAGACCTGAACAATGCCAGGAGCTGTTTAGTTCAGACTTGGCTTCAGATGGAATCCGACAGGGATCTTCCTCTGATACAGGCTGTGTGCTCTGAGCCTCGGTGTCTCCAGGTACAAAGTGGGGCCAAAGGAAGTACTGAGAAAACTTAAATGGCTGTCTACCAAGTCTTGGAATCAGGTTGGGTCAATCCTGTGACTTGGTTGTTCTCCAAGAGTGTGTTAACTATTCCAGGTATTTTGCTACTCCATATAAACTTTAGAACCAGTTTGTCAATATCCAGAAAATGTTCTGAAATTTTGATTGTGAATGCAATGTGAGCCTATACATCAAATTGGGAAGAACTAATTTCTTGACAATATGCAGTCTTTCTATCCATAAACATGAACTATTTCTTCATCTATCTGAGCTTTCTTTGATTTCCTTCATTAATGTTTCCTCATATGCATCTTGTAGGAAATATTAAATGAAGTAATGTGCACACAGTTTTTGGATACAGTTCCTGGCAGAGTTAAGGCTCAGTGAATGTAGGTATCCTAATAATGATTGCTATAATAAAAAAGAGTAAAAATTACATCATTTGAAAAGCATTATGTAATGGGAATCATATGAAATGTAACCTTTTGGTGGTTATTAGACCTCTATGCATATGATAAAATTGCACAGAACTAAATACACACAAAGAAGTACAAGTAAAACTTGTATGAATTAGCTCAGTGAATTGCTTCAATGTCAATGTTCTAGGTGTGACCAGGAAACTTTGGGAGGTGTGGATGGGTTTATTACCTTGATTGTGGCAATGGTGTCACAGCCAATGCATATGTCCAAACTCATCCACATGTGTACATTAAATATGTGCAACTTTCTGTACACCCCTTATATCTGAATAAAGTTGTAAAAAACAGCTACAGCTCTAAAAACTACCAAAAGACTATTCTGTCATGGCATATCTTGGCAAAGGTGGTTAAACATTCTGGAAGGGGAACGAGCAATATGAAACTGGCAAAAACAACAAGCAAGCACCAACACTTGGTGGGCAGAAAAGCTCCCACTCTTAGTTCTATTCCAAGGGTTGAAAACTATGGCCTAAGGGCCAAATCCAATCCACCCCTTGCTTTTATAAATAAAGTTTTATTGAAACAGCCATACCCATTTGCTTACAACTTGGCTGCTTTTACACGACAAGGGCAACATTGAGCCATTGCCACAAAGACCACATGGCCTGCAAAACAGCTACAATTTGGCCCTTTGTAGAATCTTTGTGACTCCTGATATACTCCACCATCTCCAGAACCATGCTGGCAAGACACAGGGATTGAGTTGGAGACCAGGCATTCTCAACCTCAATACACACAGCCTCCACCTGTTGTTTTAGCATATGTGCACTTACTTCCTTACCCAAGTCCCATTGCCAAAATACTAACTTCATCAACTACCTTTGCAGAGCTTTGCAAGCTTTAGTGAGGCAGCAAAAGATGGCTGTTAAAAACACTGCCTTGTGAATTCTGACTTACTGCCTTTTAGATGTGACCTTCAGAAAGTTTATTAGATGCACTAAGGACTAGATGTCCTGTGCATGACATGATAAACAGTGCTGAGGAAGAGATGAGCTTCTTCAGACAGAAAGCACTACCTCTGATATAGCACACACCCTTGAGATTTGTTGCTATTGTTATTCTTTACATTGTGAAGATTAACCTCAACCTACTCAACCCACTGTTTCAGAATCCTACATGTCACAAAACCCACAAGCTCTTAATGTGAGTCCATGGGTTTTCTTGCTTGCCCCTGAACTTCATCAAGTTGTATTAAAATTTTTCACTTGCCTGGGGAAATAGACCCTGAATTTCACCAAAATTCTCGAAGGGATCTAACCCCAAATATGCTGACAACCACAGCTCTAGAAATTACCAGTAGAAAATAAAATCCAGGCTTAAGGAAGAACTGTTTTGAAGTATAATTAACAACTGGAAAATGAAATTTAAAGTGATTTTTTTTATTTCAAATCACGTACTGGCCATGAGTACCACTTCCACCATAAATGGTCTCATCATACTTACTGAGTATATGTTCCATAATTTTTGTGTCCTACTGCTGCAGACACAGCCACAATCAGAGCTGGAATCCCATAGCCTAAAGGGTACATGAAGCGCTTCTTGAATCTGCCTGCGCTGGTGTAGTTGGCCACCCTGAGGTTCCTGACAGTGAGGAAGAGTTGCAGCCCTATGAGGAGCATCCAGGTAAAGGAAGCCAAGTAGAGGTAATGCAATACCCCAGCGATGATGGAGCACAGCACCTGGAAGGGCAAGAAGAATTAGGAAGGTGGTGTCAATGTTTGCACCTGATTATATATATCCTCAGCACTTATTTCCGGGATGCTGGCTGGAATTTCAGTTTCAACACCTGTGACATTTTGCCTGAGCCAGCACATTTCCTGGGGGCCTTACTGGCCATCGAAGCCTGCTGGCCTCATGCATTGGGGCAGACCAGAAGCACCAAGGAATGAATGCCACGGGACCAGCCCTCAAATCCATGACAGATGAGCATTGGTAAATAAATACTCCATTGCCCTTGCCCTTTGGGAGGCTGTGATAGTTAATTTTTACGTGTGAGCTTGACTGGGCTAAGGGATGTCCAGAGAGCTAATAAAACATTTTTGGGGGTGGTTGTGAGGATGTATCTGGGAGAGATTAGCATTTGAATCAGTAGATGACTGAAGAAAATGGCCCTCACCAGTAAGTGTGGGCACCATCCAATCCACGCATAGAGGGAATAGAACAAAAAGATACAAGAAGGGCTAATCCACTCTCTTCTTGAGCTAGGACATCCATCTGCTTTATCCCTTGGACATCAGCAGTCATGGTTCCAATAAAATGTTCTTTATAAAAACAGACTGTGGGCCAGAATTGACCTGAGCACTGTAGTAGGTCAGCTTCTGCACATTTTGAAGTGAAGAGACTAAGGGCCAAAGAAGTTAAAATCGCTCTGAAGATTACACCTATAAACAAAAAGTATTTGAAATCCAAAATGTTGGCAGAGACCATATTTATTCTTAACCATAGCACTTCACAGCCTTTTGGGGGGGGGGTGGAGTAGTGCTTTTATAACCTTCTAATGGGGAGATCGTAGTCTTTCAGTGTTTTGATATGGTATTGATTTTTCCTAGGTGTAAAAATATAGTGATGAACATGATCATGATCATGATGAAAATAAAAGCTAATATTGTTCCCTGGCTGGTGTGGCTCAGTGGACTGAGGGCCAGACTGTGAACCAAAGGGTCACTGGTTCAATTCCCAGTCAGGGCACATGTCTGGGTTGCAGGCCAGGTCCCCAGTAGGGGGCGTGTGAGAGGCAACGACACATTGATGTTTATTTCTCCCTCCTTTCCCCTCTGTTGAAAAATAAATAAATAAAATCTTTATTTTTAAAAAGCTAATATTGTTCTGAGTGATTAATCCAGATTATGTTTTATCTTGCTAAGCCTTTACTAGAGCCCTATGATGATGTCCCTGTTTTAGAGAGGGAGTTTAAAAGGGGGAAGTCACTTCAACAAAGTCATTTAGCAAGTAGAACGAAGAGCTGAGTTTAAGTGCAGATTGCATGGCAACAACACTGTCCACTCAAAGTATAATCCTCCATCAGTTCTACTGAAGATTACAAATTTATCTCTAAGAAATGACTTCCTAGCCAGAGTACATTTCCTAGCATGCCTTGCAGTTAGGCATGACCATGTGACAGAATTCTAGCCAATGGAATGTGAGAGGAAGCGATATGCACCACTTCCTGAAGTGGCCCACATAAACCTCACTCATGGGACTCTGCCATGCTCTTTTCTCTTTACAGTTGGCTAAAGTGGGAAGGACCCCAGGGTGACCTTGGAAGCTGTCTGTGTGGGAGATAAAGAGCCTCCATCAGCCTGAGGTCAGAGGATAGACACCCTTCAAACCTGTTTGCTCACCTTCTGCTGATACATATGGGTAAAATGAACTCCTTGTGTGATAAGCCACAGAATTTTGAAGTTCGCATGTTACAGCAACTGTAAAGTGGTCTAATACCATCTGTCTGACTCTCAACCACTTTGCTCAATGGCACCTTAGAAAGTGGGGGCCTTGTTAAAATTAGAGAGGAGAGCTGAAATGGGGACTCTTGTATTTTCCCCCAGGTGATTACTGCCTCTCTCCCCATCTTTCCTCAAGACAAGATGGTGTATTTGTTTATTATAATAAGGAAATTTGGTGAAAGTACCTACCTCAGGCTCAGTTTGATCAATCCCTGTGAGGAAGAGCAGGTGGGCCAGGAAGAGGCAGATGCAGAGCTGCAGGTGGAGGGAGGTGCTGGTGTTCTGGATGGCTTTGCACAGCAGGAAGGTGAGGGCCGCCAGGAGCAAGCACAGCAGAGAGAGGCTCAGCCCCACGTAGGTGATCACAGCCAGAATGGGATCTGCCTACAAGCCACCAAAGGAGGGACCCATTATAGTTTCCAACTGTGTAGTTATGTTCCTGATGGAGAGTCAGGGACTTCACAGTTCAGCCCCTCAGATGGGTGACTGAACTCCTCCAACACTTGCTATTCCCACCTTCAAAGTGAGGACACACATAAGAGCATTTACCGCACAGGGCTGTTGAAAAACCAAAACCACTAGGCTGGTGCCATTTAATAAAAATATGTCAGCCATATGTGTAATTTCACTTTTACGGTAGCTATAGTTTTAAAAATGTAAAAAGAAAGCAGTCAAATTAATTCGATTATTATTTAATAGTTCAAAACATTAGTTCAATGTGTTGAATATAATAAAGTAGCAAAAATATCAGTTCAAATTAAAAAATCAGTGTAAAATAATTATGAATGGCATATTTGATATTTTTTTCCCATATCAGGCCTTTGAAATCCAGTGGGTATTTTACACATACAGCACATCTCAATCCAGATGCTATATTTTCAATAGTGAAAGTGAAATATAACCTTACCAGAAAAATATAATTGAGTTTAACAGAAAAAGATTTTACACTGCCTCTTTTTTTTATATTTCAATTACAATTGACATTCAGTGTTGCTTTATGTTAGCTTCAGGTGCACACCATAGTGATTAGACATTTTTTAACTTATGAAGTATTCCCCTCAATAATTTTAGTGCCCACTTGAAACTGCACACAGTTATTACAATTTTATTGACTATCTTCCCTATGCTATATTTTACATCCCTGTGACTATTTTATAACTGCCAATTTATATTTAATCCCTTCACCTTTTTCACCCAACCCTCTGTCTGTCCTCTGTATCTATGAGTCTGTTTCTATTTTGTTTATTTTGCTCTTTAGATCCCACATATAAGTGAAATCATGTGGCATTTGTCCTCATCTGACTTATATCACTCAGCGTAATGACCTCTAGATGGACACTTAGGCTGCTGCCATATCTTGGCTATTACAGGTAACGCAGCCCCAGGGCTTCCTGTTAGGAGCTACAACACGATCTGTGCTTGGTAGCTGTCTGTGCTGGGCCTGCACACACGTGGGAGAGACCACTCCAAAAACTAAGGCTGGCTTCCACCAGTACCAGACCTGGGGCTGTTCAGCAAAAGGCACAAAGCACCCCAAGATCTGCCACCACCTAAAGAGCCTCAGGTGGTACTTGAGTTGGGAGTCAGCAGGGTGGGGCCAGTGGAGTTCACCAGGCTAATGATTCAGATTTGGATGTGTAGGTGTGGGCTCAGCCTAGGCACAATGGCTGCCATCCCTCCAGCCCTTGCCCTGAAGCCACATTACTCAGTTTCTCCTTGTGTGTTTCTGGTAGCCACCCACAGGAGTGCCTGCAAACCAGAGTTTGTACACAGGTCCTTTAATAAGACACCTGGGTTTCAAGCAGCCTTCTGTCTGAATCCCCACTCCATTTTTCATGGGCTCCTCTTCCCAGCACTGGTGCTCTGGGCTGGGGGAGCCCAGCGTGAGGTTAAAACCTCTCACTCCTCCGTGGGGACATCTGCAGCTAAGACATCCCTGTGGATTCTCAACCACCACAAGTGGGTTTGGGCCCAGACCATTTCACATCTGTGCCCCTCCCACCAGTCTCAATGTTGCTTGTTCTTTCTATCCTTAGTTATAGGACTTCGGTTCAGCTAGTCTTCAGATGGTTCTCCAGGATGATTGTTCTAAAGTTTAGTTGTAATTTTGATGTGCTCACGGAAGGAGGTGAGCCCCTCCATCTACACCACCGTCTTGATTGGAACTCTACAATGCTTGTTAATTTAAATAAACTTAAATTTAAAATTCGGGTCTTCAGTCACACTAACCACATTTCATGTGCTCAATAGCTACATGCGGCTGGTGATCCTATAGGAAAACACAGCACCCAAAAGTAGTTTCCATGAACACTAGGATTTCTTTGTCTTTTTCCAGTGTCTGACATGGAGTAGGCACTCATACATGAAGTTGTTGAGTGAATAAAATCAGCCCATGTATTAATTATGCAATAAATGGTTATCATACAGTAAATATTCAAAAACTGGGAACTAAAAAGAAGTAGGGAAAGAAATTAGGTAAATTTCTTTAAACCTGAGTTATCCTAGACATGTTGGGAAGTTCAGGAGGCTTTGCTTTTTCGTTGGTGATAGTCACCTTTTCCTGGTCTGACCAGGAAGGTTCGGCCGTAACTCTCTCCAGTGGAGGAGCAGATGTTTTTGATCCCAGGTCACCTAGGACTTTTTCCCTATAGGGGCTGACAACCCAACTTCCCAATGTCTGACCACTGCCTTGACTAACTTGAGCTTGCTCTGCCCATGCCATGGAAGCATCAGAGAATTGTTGTCCCCTGGATGTAGTTTTCAACTAACAACTGAAGGGAGGTAGGGTATAAATACCCCAGCTCTCTCTCTCTCTCTCTCTCTCTCTCTCTCTCTCTCTCTCTCTCTCTCTCTCTCTATATATATATATATATATATATATATATATATATATATATATATATATATATATATATATATATATATATATATATCCCTCTCCAGTTAGAATGAACTACACTGACCTCCAGTTACCTACAGTGGGATGTGGCTTGATGATGCTCTCTGCATGGCTTCTATCCTTTTCCTATTTCACTTCCCCAGCCCTCTTCTGGTGCTTCCTGAAATTACCTTTCAAGTTAGCTTGACTCCACATATTAAGAGTCTTTTTGTAAGACATGGAACAAATGATCTCCCAGCTTCCTGGACACAATCAGATTCATAAGAGGGGACCATGGGTCTTGGTACCTCAGGAACAAGAGCCACGAGGACAGCAAAGCTGGAGAGGTGGAAGCACTTGCATACGGTGTAAGATTCATTGCTGCCCGCAAGAGTGCAGCCCTCCGTCGACCAGCTGCCTCCCTCCTGTGATCCTTCCCAGTACACGCACAACTGTTTTGTTCTTGCACCACCAGGCTGGAAAGAGAACAGCATCAAAGTGTCTTTCTTTCTTGTTTTACTATTTCAAATTCATGGGTTGGAAACTATGGGAAAGCCCCATCATCTGGAACACATGTGGGGAAGAATTTTATACCACACCTGTGTGGGCTTCAGTCTCACTGATTCTGTCCTGCTCTGGTCATCTAAGAGCCCCTGAACTGACCCTTGAGAACTGCTTTACCCAGGCTGCTTGTTATTTGTGGGACCAATGAGAAGAACTGGTGAGAGATCATTGGATGAGAGCTGAAGAAGTTCAGGTGTTTCTTCCATACTTCTTTTCTGCTTCAGGCTATCTCCATCTCCAGCAGGGCAACCCCACCTTCATGCCTCCATCCTTCCCTGGGCTCACCCCTTACCCCCACCATTGCCTTTTTAGGCTTCAATGTGATAATAGCTTCTCTGGAGCCCTCAATACTTTCTGTCAGTTCTCTGAACCTTGGATGACCAGAGTTGGATTCAGAATACCTACCAAAACCCTGATGACATACCCATTTAAGTTAACGCCTAGAGAACCAACCCTGGGTTTTGCTCACCTGTGTATGTTTGAAGGTCAGGAAAACAGGTTTAGACAGATAAACTTTTTTCTCCACACCAATGGTGCCACTCACAACATGAGAGTTCATTTTTATGTCCACTATTCCTCTTCTGTCACTGAAAAAGGATCCATCCAGAATATCCCCAAGAGACCCGTAAGTGATTAGCGCAACATTTCTTGCTGAGAAAACAGAAGAGAAATCACTTTATAAGGGAGCTACAGTTTGATGAATTGGCATTAAAAAACCCTGTAAGTCCCCACACCTTGGCACAGTGCTTAGAATCTGAAGGTCAAGAGAATGCATCTTGGACACAGTACCTCTTGTGGTTCTTTTGAAAGCATCAGCGCAGTCAATATCCATTGTGTTATTGCCAGCTTCCAGAACAGTCTTCTCACTGGTCTCATTGCATGTCTTGGTTTCATAGACTGGAAACATATGAAAGTGAGTCCTGCTTAGCTCACGTCTCATGCCTAAGGATCTTGCTGAAGAACTCCCATCTGTGAAGACCCACTACTGCTGATTCCATCTTCTGCATGCAAGGTAGACCAGATGTCACTCCCTTTCACTTCTCCAGTTGGTGGGGATGAAATGGTGAAACTGTCCTGAGCACCACACACTGGCCACCCAACTCAGAGGGAGAAAGGGGATAGACACACTTCCGGGAGCTTGAACTCATGGGGAGGGGGGTGGAGCTCAACATTTACCATATAATATTTGAGGGGAAAAAAAAACAAATATGTGTGCTGGAGTATCTGGTATGGGGGAAACTTAATTTTTTAACCAAAAGAAGCTTAGCATCCAAAGGAAATAGCCTCTGGGGCAGATCTGCATTTGGGAAGAATCCCTTGAGTGAACTTCCTCCGTGTCATATAAACACACAGTCTGACAAAAGATCCCTCCTCCCATAACCCTTTGGTCATGACAAAAATGATTGGGATTTCTTACCTATATCAAGCTCTGGATTTTTGTGCTTTCCTAGAGAAGTAAAACTGTAATTCCATATAGCCGATTCTATGCTTTCAAGTCGTTGGGTAGCCTCTTTGGCAATGTACTCTTTGCTTCCATTGTTCCTTAGAGTTGTCTTTCAAAGAAATAAAGCTAATTAGGTAGACTCTTACATAAACTTTAAAAAGCAGGGAAATACATAAATGTGGTTGGGTGAGCCCAGAAGACAATAACATTAAGGTGCTGCTAGGCTCTGTGCTATCACCCTGATAGGACTCTTATTTATCATATGTAGCCCTGTGAAGGGTGTATCCTTAACTTCATTGTATTTATGAAGACAGGAAGGTTTTAAAAATGAGGTATCTGGAACCTTCAAACAGCCTCTTACGGAGAAAGATAGGCAATGGGAGGTGGCAAGGAGATGGAATGAGGTTCTAGATGCCTGACGCAGGTCTTTGAATGACAGGTGGGCCATGAAAACCCCTTCCCAGAGCTTCTCAATCTTCTCAATTGACATGTGGGGCCAGATAATGGTTGTGGAAGGCTGTCCTCAGCGTTATCAGATGTTTAGCAGCATCCCTGGTCTCTGCCCATCCACTAGATGCCAGTGACATTGTGGCTGTGCCAACCAAAAATGTCCCCAAACATTGCCTGAGACATTATCCCCCTGGGACAGAGGACAAAATCAGTGTGAGAACTGCTGTATCCTAAAAGTCATGGGGAGACATGGAAGACCAGTGAGATGTTTCCTAAACCTAGCTTCACCTTACTCACCCAAATGTTCTCAGGTGGCTGTGTATTCTCACCAGTGTCCTCTGGGAAAGAAAAGTAGCTATTAAATCAAATATTGAAAATAACACACCCTGGCTCACATCCCTTCTTCCAAACACCCTCAAGTTGAATCTTTCCCTGATGCTTCCACATCCTATCCCAGTTTCTCTCTAAGAAATCCCAGATGTCTGCTGCAGTATGATAAGAGAATTAGGATGGAACTTTCACTTCATTCATTCAATCAATAGTAATTATTGAGCAACTACTAAAAGCCAGGCACAATGCTAAACCTCATGGAGAGAGGTTGGTATCGAAACAAAGGGAGTTCCCTTCTAGGGGTTGCAGACAGTGAGGAGTCACTAAGCCAATAATGACAAGCAATTAAGTGATTACAAGGATCCAAGATGTCCATACATGAATGAGATGACTTGGGAGTATACAGAAGAAGCCCCAGAATATTGAGGGTACAGAGAATGTTTCCCAAAGGAATAGATGTTAATGAAATTAACAAGATAGAAACAGTAATAACACTTGCCGTGGTCTACACAGCACAATACATGAAGTGCATTCAGATGCATTATCTCATTTAAAGGAACTCAGCATGTAGGTATGCTCAGGTATGTAGCATAATAGCTAATATTAACTGAGCTTTCTCAGGTGCCTAGCAATGCACTAAATATTTTACATGCCTTAATAATCATAGGTAAAGTGTATTCATTTCCTGGGGTTGCTGTAGCAAAGTACCACAAACTGGGTGGCTTAAAACAACAGAAATTTATTCTCTCATAGTGCTGGAAGTTAAAAGTCCAAAAGCAAGGTGTCAGCAGGACTGTGGTCCCTCTGAAGTTTATAAGATATATCCTTTGCTGCTTCTTGCCTCTGGTGGTTGGCAGCAATCTTTGCTGTCTCTTGTTTTTTGGCAGCCAGACTTCAGTCTGTGCTCCTCTCATTACATGTCCCTTTGTGTGTATGTCCCTATGTCCAGATTTCCCTCTTCTCTTTTTTAAAGATTTTATTTATTTATTTTTAGAGAGAGGAAGGGAAGGAGAAAGAGAGGGAAAGAAACATCAATGTGTGGTTGCCTCTCAAGCGTCCCCAACTGGGGATCTGGCTCACAACCCAGACATGTGCCCTGAGTGGGAATCAAACTTGTGACCCATTGGTTTGCAGGCTGGCACTTGACCCACTCAGCCACACCAGCCAGGGCCAAATTTCCCTCTTCTTATAAGGGTACCAGTCATACTGGATTTAGGGTTCACCCTAATCTAGTATGACCTCATTCTGATTTGATTATATCTGCAAAGACCCTATTCCTAAATAAGATTACATTTACAGTTTCCATGAGTGGACTTGAATTTGGGGGAAGGTATTTCATCCAGTACCTGAGGTAAGGCTTCTGAAATGACTCACAGCAATCTCTGCCTCACATTCTCTTATTCACACCCGTGTGTGTGAATTCACTCCTCCCCCTGACTCAACTCAGTGACTCATTTCTAATGAATAAAGTACAGCAAAAGGGAAAAGATGTCACTTCTGAGGTTTGGTTACAAATGACTATGATTTCCCTTTTGTTCACACTCTCTTCCTGGCTATTCTAATGTGCTTGTTATAATAAAGCAAGCTAGAGAGGCCAATACATCCAAGAATGAAGAGCAATTTCCCACCAACCACCAGAAAGAAAGTGAGGCCTTCAGTCCAATAGCTTTCAAAGAACTAAATCCTGCCAGCCAATCACGGGAGTGAGCCTGGAAGCAGACAAACCTTCAGATAAGACTGCATCCCCAACCAATGCTTTGTAGCTGTGAGAGGCCTAGAAGTGGAGGTAAACCATGCCTCAATTCCTCGACTACACAGACCATGAGCCAACATATATGTGTTGTTTTAGGCCTTAGGGTCATTTGTGACTCAGCAACACATGACTAGTACAGTGGATGCTATTACTATTCTTCCCACTTACGGATGAGGCATTTAGAAGTTAGTCATTCCCCAGAAGTCAGCTGTAAGCAATAGCGCCAGAGATCAAATACAATCTGTCTAACTCAAAATATGGAATTATGTTAGGAATTAACAAATAAGTCAGTAGGTTGTGGATAGTGAGAACCAGGCTTTTCAGTGTTGAAGAAAAAGGTTACAAATAAGGGAAGAAGGAAGACTACATCAAGCCCTGGGATTGGACTGGGATTGGAACTAGCAGTATGAAGTCATGGGTTTTAATATATACACAGATAAAATGAGTGAGAAAGAAACAAGTAAAGAAGTCCAGTAGAAAATTAGAAATGTCATTTTGTTGTTTATTTATTTGTTTGTTTGTTTGTTTGTTTTTATTTTTAGAGAGAGAGGGAAGGGAGGAAGAAAGAGAGGGAGAGAAACATCAATGTGTGGTTGCTTCTCCTGCACCCCCTACTGGGGACCTGGCCTGCAACCCAGGCATGTGCTATGACTGGGAATTGAACAGGCAACCCTTTAGTTCATAGGCCAGCACTCAATCCACTGAGCCACACCAGCCAAAGCTAGAGATGTCATTTTGGAAGCCCAGAAAAGAGATATAAATTTATAAGGCAGTGATGCTCGGAAAAGATTTCAATAATGAGTTGAGGGACAAGGGCCAGGACAGATCTCTACTCTCTTGCCCTGGCCTGACATTGGTGGAGCTCTCAAAGTCTTCCCCCACCCTTCCTTGTTCTTGGTGGAGAGTATTGGAGGTTCTTACCGTAACATTCTGCATGATTCATTTTAAAGATACCAGCCACCCAATTGAAGAGAGGAACATCTGGGACACAGCTGCAGTAGTAGCTTCCAATTTCATTTCTGCAATATGATGTCTGCTTGCACTTTGCCTGCCCCGTCTTACACTCATCAATGTCTGTAAATCAAGAGAAAACATTGCTGTGCATCCTCATAGAACTATACCATTGTCCCTTGACCATAGAATCTCTATTATGCAATGTCATTCATGAATGTACCCAGAACAACATTTATTCTTGCATAAAATGACTCCATATGACAAAGATGATAGTTCTCCTTTTATTATAAACCCAATAAATCCCAATTAAAAATATCTACAAGTACTTAATGGAGTGAGATGAGTTGCTACCATCACGCAAGAATAGCCAGAAAAACTACAAGGTGGGACTAGCCTTCCAGACATCGGTGGACATGAGAATGTACTACAAAGGCTCAATAAAACAATGAGGTGCTGGTGCATGAAGAGGGAAACCAGTGGAAGAGACTAAAGGTCCAAAAATAGACCCCAAGACACATGGAGCTTTAGAATCTGACAAGAGTGACACGTCAAATCACTGGACAATATGTTCCTCTGGCAAAACTGTGGAAGGACAGATGCTCTCCCATATTGCTGGTGAGAATGCAAACTGGTACAGCCTCTCTGGAATTAAATTTGGAAAATTTGGAATATTTGGAATATCCAGTCAAGCTACATATGGATTTACCTCTTCTCTCAGGTGTCTCACTTCTAGAACTGTACTCTAGAGACACACTGCCACAAGTATTAGAAACTGCCTAAACATCAGAAACAACTGAAATACCCATACTTAGGAGAGGGTTGAATAAACTGTGGTTCATCCCAAAGCTATAAGAAAAGAAAATGGGGACAATCTCTATGAACTGACTTGGAGTAATTTCTAGTGTATGTTTAAGCTGAAAAGGCAAAGTTCAAAAGGATATCTATGGTGTCCTATCAAAAGTGTCATAACCACAGAGGACAAGGAAAGACTGAGGATCTGTCACAGATGAGACAAGACTAAGGGCCATGACCATTGAAGGCAATGTGGGATTCTGAAACAGTTCTTGGAACAGAAAAAAGGGGCATTAGGGAAGAATGAGGGAAACTTGAAACAGGTCTGGAGTTAACCTCATTCCCTGGTGCTGATCTTTGTACTGTAGCCATGTCTTTGGTTGAGCTTAGGGAAACCAGGTGAAGGGAAAAAAGAATTCACTGTGCTGTTTTTGCTATTTTTATTTAGGTCTAAAACCATTTCAAAATAATAAGTAAAAAAAAAAAAATAAGTATATCCAGCATTGCATGATCAGGAAACAAATGAACGGAAACAAAAAGTAGATGGTGGGAGCCAGGGGCCGGGGAGCTGGTGCTTAGTGAGGACAGCGTTTCAGTTTGGGGAGATGAGAAAGGCTCTGTGGATGGATGGTGGTGATGGTTGGGTAACAATGTGAATGTGCTTAATTTCACTGAAAGACACACCTAAAAATGGTTAAACTAGTAAATTTTATGTTGTGTGTATTTGCCACAATAAAATAAAACAAATCCTAGCCTACCATTGTGTGCTTCACATTCTGAATTCACACTAAAATTCCATCAATAAAATGTCCAGTTCCACCAATCAGATATTCAGGAGTGACATTTTTCTTTGGTATTTAAGTTGACCTTTAGAATTTGTGGAAATGAAAATGGATTTTGGCTAGAGCAGATGGGAGTGGTGAGAAGTACAATTGGAAAACTAAGTTAGAGTCAGATCATGGTAGATGGCGAGTGCCAAGATATTTATTTACATGTTCTCCTGGTCAATGTGTTTTTATTGAGCATCTACTATGTGAGAATACTATTATCTGTCCTAGGCATACAGAGATGATACCTGCCCTGGGGAAGTTCTCAGACAAACAAGCAAACAAAAACACCACTGCTTAAGACTTCAACAGCCTAGGGTCTTGGGAACTCTACCTTCCTCTAAAGAAAAACCACAAGTCATCAAGCCAGCATCAGAATGGCAGCGGGAGAGTGCATAGGGGTAGGGACTTCACTAAGGGTTTTGGCACTATCTTGTAATATTCTTGCATCTTTGCAGCATACATAACCCAGGGTTTGGGGCACAGAAGGATGCCTCTGCCCCCTTCCAAATTCCAAGGTGAGTGTGGATTGCAACACCTACCTTCACATTTCTCATAAGATTCAGTAAAGTATTTCCTCCCAGATGTGGACTCATACCCATTATTACAAACACAGTGGGTATCATTGAAGCAGCTGGCCTTTTCAGGGCATGAGGGACAGAAAGCTGCAGGAAACACAAGATTCTTTCATTCATTTGATTATTTATTTACTCAAGAAATATTCATTGAGCACATTGGCTACCAGACTTTGTGGTCAAAAGAATGTCCTCTTGGGAATAGTTCCATTGGCACCTATCCAACTACTGAATACACATGCCCAAACCACATCCCGCTTCTGCCACCAACACCACTTTTGCTTGACACTAGAACTTCTATAGCACCTGTATTTCTTTACTTGGGGTCTTTCTTTGGCCACCAGAGTCCTCTTTGCTCACCACATGATGGGTAGCAATGTTTTCTCTGCCCTCACCCCTGAAGCAATTTTCTTAATCAATGACAGACAAGAGTAAGTGCATTAAAAAACCCAGTTCTCTTATCATCAAAAATAGAGAATAAGATGTGGCAATATTGTAACCCTAAAGCGTTGCTGGTAGGAATGTAAAATGGTGCAGCTCTTGTGGAAAACAGTATGGCAATTTCTAAAATTAAAATTAAAATTGTCATATGATCTAGCAGTTCCATTCGTGGGCATATAGCCAAAAGACTTGAAAGTAGGGTCTTGAAGAGATAGTTGTATACCTTTGTTCATTCCTAGCAGCATTATTCATGGTAGCCAAAAGATGAAAGCCGCCCAACTGCCCATCAACAAATGAATGGATAAACAAAATGTGGTCTGTTCACACAACAGAATATTATCCAGCTTTAAAAAATAGAAATTCCAACACATGCTGTGACAAGGATGAAGCTTGATGACATTGTGATAAGTAAATAAACTCATTCCAAAAGGACAAATGCTGTATGGTTCCTCCCATGTGAGGTCCCTAGAGGAGTCAAATTTATAGAGAAAGTAGAATGGATGATGCCAGGGGCTGGAGGACAGGAATAGGGAATTAATGTTTAAATGGGGGAAACAACTTCCAGGTGCACGTTTCTTACTATGTCCAACAGCAGTCCCCATGGGATAGAAATCCCATTGCCCACATGTCACTTGCTAGATAATGGACTCTATATTAGCTCCTTGCCTTCCCACCTGACTTCCTACTTCCAGCTGGTGCTTCCTAGGATCACCTTGCAGATAAATTATTTTCTCACAAGTCCTTATCTCCAGATTTGCTTCTGAGAGGACCCAATCCAAGCCATGGGGCAAAGGCAACAGTATATCCCAGAATGATTTGAGACACAGGCTTTTGGAAAAGAAAGGGTAGAGTCCCACAACCACCAGCTGTGTGACCTTGAGCCAGCCACTTGTCTAGAGGGCCATTGGTCAACTAGAAATAATGTAAGAAACTTCTTTGAAGGAATGTCATGAGGATTGAATAAGATGGAGCACACAATTGGCTTAATATTGAGCCTGGTGCAATACAAAAGCTAAATAAATGGGGGAGTCATAATGGTGATGGTGGAAAAGGAAGGAGCAGTCCTTGGGAGCACCAAGGAGTAGGCAGACGGTGCAGGAATTAATATTCTCTCCCTTGAAAAAGACTCCTTCCTTTTTCTGGAGGCAGGCTGCAGACCTCAATTTCCTTTACCCTACCTTTGACAATCATAGGCTCACCTTTAGAATTCTTCGCTTCTGACCCTGACAGAGCTAGCAGGACACTGAGACCTGAAATAGAAAAAGAAGAGAATAGTTCAGGAGTGGGGGTGCCCTGGGGTTTTGCTTGGCTAAAGCCTGGGTGAGTTAGAGGTGTCAAATTTATAGAGAATAAATTTCTCTATAAATTCATACCCCATTGTTCACATTACTGTAGACTCTTCCAGGTAAAATATAAACACAAGGGTCACAAAGGCATCATGTGTTACTACAGGATGAGAGCTACATCTGATTGCAACTAGAAAAGGTTCTATACCCAAGTGTAGTGTGTGTGTGTGTGTGTGTGTGTGTGTGAGAGAGAGAGAGAGAGAGAGAGAGAGAGAGAGAGAGAGAGAGAGGAGGTGTTCCCACACCAACAAGCAATTCTGGGGCATGAACTGGGTGTTTTACAATTAAACTCAGTTCTGACATTGTCTACCCAGAGATTGCATCAGATTCCACATGTTCAGGGCTATAGGTTGGAGGTTCCAAGGATCCCCTGTTAATTTGCTAAAGTGACTCACAGAACTCAGGGAAACATTTTACTTACTGGGTCACTCGTTTATTGTAGGAGGATACAACCCAGGAACAGCCAGGTGGAAGAGATGAGCAGGGTCAGCTATAGGGAAGGAGCACTGTCCTCTGGGCACCACCTTCACAGCACCTGCAACTGTTCACCAACCCAGAAGCTCTGCGAACCCCAACCTTTTGAGTGTTTATGGAGGCTTCACTACATACACATGATTGATTAATTAATTGGCCATTGATGACTGATTCAGCCTCCAGCCCCTCTCTCTCCCCTGGAAATCAGGAGTGCAACTGAAAGTCCCATAGTCAAAATGGTGGCATAGGTAAATGCAGTATTCATCTCCTCCCACAACTGCATTAAAATTACAACTAAACTACAGAACAATCATCACTGAGAGCCAGCTGAAGTCTAGCTAAACAAAAGTCCTACAACTAAGAATATAAAGAAGATGCTACATCAATACTGGTAGAAGAGGCAGAGATGCAAAGCGGGCTGGTCCCTCACCACTAAGTGGTGGTTAAAAATCAGGAGGTATATCCCAACTGCCAAAATCCCCCCAAGGAGTGAGGGGTCCCAGCCTCACACCAGGCCCCACCAGTCCAGGGTTCCAGTGCTGAAAAGAGAAGTCCCCATAACTCCTTGCTGTGAAAACCAGTGGGGATTGTGACTGAGTGAAACAGAGGGCTCCTGGAGTTCCAGGCATTCCTTTTAAAGGGCCTGGGTATGGATGCACTCAAATTCATTCTTCCTGGCTCAAGCACTGGGGCAGCAGCTAGAAAGGGGACAGGAACATGAAGGGAATGACTGAAGTGTCTGGATTTGGGGCAAAATGTGGAAGAATAGCTTTCTCCCGGACAGAAATGCTGGCAGAAGACATTGTTCATTTCCTGGGCTCTCTCCCTGCAGGTACCGGAGGGCACCATAACTGAGGCTCCATCAACCTGGCTAACACTGTCCCCCCTGCCCTGGGGTATTCCCTGAAACCCCACCCCAACCAAACTGAGGGCCCACCCAAGCCATTTACAGTGGCTTTTTTATATAAACGGCCTATTTCAGCTCATGCTGAAGGCTTCCCTAAAAATTCTCAAAGATTCACAAACCACAAAAAAGCAGCATCTGGCCTTGGCATGCCCTATACCTGCTGCTAAGCAGCCACAAACCCAACACTAGTGGCAGCTGGACTCGGTTTGCAGGTTGGCCTTTCCCAGGCACCTCTAAGCCCAGCATAAGTGGCAACCACCTGAAGATCACTGTAGCTCATAACAGGTGGCTCTAGGCAGGTCCCAGGCAGCAATTGACCTTGGTCTGCATCCCCTGGGAAGCCCTAGAGCCAGTGCCCCTGGTGTACAGCTTTAGATCATGGTGGAACACTACCCAGGCACCACCACAGGCCACACACACAAGGTGCTGACTCAGGAAACACCAGAGCCCCACTGACCTTGGGGTCAGCCCCTGCACATCAGCTCTGGTGCTGTAGTCACAGCTGGCCCTAGCTACCAATTGGCCTGGGGTCAATCCCTTCCATTCACATGCCAACAGCAATCAAAGCTCAACTACAACAGGAGGGTGCATACAACCCACACAAAGGGTGCACCTGAAGCCCGTGGCTTGGGTGACCAGGGAGGCTGTGCCACTGAGCCCTGCAGAACACCTACTACATAAGGCCACTCTAGCAAGCCTGGGAGACACAGCAGTACTACCTAATACATTGAAGAAAAACAGGGAGGAATAAAACAGGAAAACAAATAAGCGTGTTCCAAATGAAAGAACAGGAGAAAACTCCAGAAAAATAACTAAACAAAATAGAGACAAACAATATAACAGATACAGAATTCAAAATAGTAGCTATAAGGATGCTCAAGGAACTCAGGGAGAACTTCAACAGAGAGATGGGACACATAAAAATGGGGATAAAATATTAAAAAGAACCAATCATAAATGATGAATATAAGAGCTGAAATGAGGGAATCAACATTAGAGGGAATTGACAGCAGATTAGATGAAGCAGAAAATCAAATCATAAATTTGGAGGACAAGGTAGCATAAAACAATCAAAACAGCAAAAAGAAAAAATAACTTTAAAAATAAGGGTAATTTAAGGGGCCCCTGAGTCAACATGAAGAACACCGATATTTGCATCATTAGGGTTGTCAAAAGGAGAAGAGAGAGAGCAAGAAACTGAAAACCTATTTGAAGAAATAATGACAGAAAACTTCCTGGCTTAAAAAAATAGACCAAAAAAAGTCCAGGAATCACAGAGAATTCCAAACAATCTCTTTGGAGAGGTTTACACTAAGAAATATCATAATTAAAATGACAAAGGTTTAGGACAAAATGAGAATCCTAAAAGCAGTAAGAGAAAAGCAGTTACCTACAAGGGAACTCCTGTAAGACTGTTAGCTAATTTCTCAACAGAAACTTTGAAGGCCAGAAAGAATTGGCATAAAATATTCAAAGTAATGAAAAGCAAGGACCTACAACCAAGACTACTCTACCCAGCAAGGCTATCATTTAAAAAGAATGGATAGCCCTGGCTGGTGTGGCTCAGTGGATTTAGCACCAGCCTGTGAACCTAAAGGTTGCTGATTCAATTCCCAGTCAGGGCACATGCCTGGGTTGCAGGCCAGGTCCCTGGTTGGGGACATATGAGAGGCAAACAGTCAATGTATCTCTCATACATCAAAGTTTCTCTCCCTCTCTTTCTCCCACCCTTTCTATCTCTCTAAAAATAAATAAACAAAATATTTTTTAAAAAAGAAAAGAAAGGATGGATAAAGAGTATCCCAGACAAGAAAAAGCAAAAGGAATTCATTGCTACCTATCCAGTGTTGCAAGTTAAAAGGTATTCTTTAAGAAAAAGGGTGGGGAAAATCAAAATAAGAATTATAACATGGAATAAAAACATATCTATCAACAATTCCTTTAAATGCAAATGTATTCAATGTTTTGATCAAAAGATATTGGGTGAGTGAATGGATAAGAAAGCAAGACCCTTACATATGCTGTCTACAAGAGACTCACTTCAGATTGAAAGGCACACACAGCCTGAAAGTAAAAGAATGGAAAAAGGTATTTCATGAAAATGAAAACAAAACAACACAAAGCTGGAGTAGCAATACTTTTACCAGACAAAATAGACTTTAATACAAAGGCTATAACAGGAAACAAAGAAGAACCCAGAAATCCAAAACACTAAGTTGAAAATACATATGCACCCCTATGTTCATTGCAGCATTATTTACAGTAACCAAAATATGGAAGCAACCTAGGCATCCATCAGTAGATGAATGGATAGAGTGGTACATATATATAATAGAATATGACTCAGCCATATAAAAAGAAACCTTGCCGTCTGCAACAGTATGGATGGATGGACCTAGAAGGTACTGTGCTGAGTGAAATAAGTCAAACAGAGAAAGACAAATGCCACATGACTTCATTTATATGTTAAATCAAAAAAATAAATAAATGAACAAAAATTAGAAATGAATGGACATATACAGAGAACAGTTTGATGGTGGCTAGATAGAAGGGATACTGGGGAACTGGGTGAAAAAGGTGAAGGGAATAAGAAATACAAATTAGTGGTTCATTCATTTCTTTTGTCATTTTCAGATTCCACATATAATTGAAATTATACAGTATTTGTCTTTCTCTGCCTGCTTTATTTCACTTAGAATAATACTCTTTAGGTCCATCCATTTTTTTAAAAAGCAAAGAGAAACAGATGAAATTAATTTTAATACTATATTTTATTTAAACCACTCTACCCAAGATGTTATCATTTCAACACTCAAGCAATATAAAACAAATTATTCATAAAGTATTTTACATTCTTTGCTGTATGTATTCAGCCTTTAACATCTGGTGTGAACTTGGAGTGGCCTTATTTTGAGTGCTCAATAGCTCCACATGGCTGGCAGCTATAGTACTGAACAGCACAGGCCTAACCTCTTACTAAACAGTGCATTTTCTGGAACAAGGGGAGACTGAAATAGCAAAGACTGTGAGAATCTTAGGAGTCCAGGACTGTGGCAAATTTGGAATGGGCAAGAATGTTTTCAAGATGATCTGTTTTGAGGGTGACCTAAAAATGTCTAGCATATGACTAGACAGAGCTGCCTATGAAGTTGGAGGTGGCAGATATGCAGACCACTTTGCCACCAGTTTCCGAATATCACCCCCTCATGGTAAGTGGGCAGGATAACCAGACACTGGGAAAAGGATTTGCCCTTATCCCTTTCACTGGACGCAGGCTGAGTTGGAATCCTTTGCTAAATTCTGGAGACATCTGCTTTCATGGCCAACATCAGGCCCCCAAGTGTGTAAGTGAGACAAATAAAATCCAGGTAACTTGGATTCGTATCCTATGGAAGGGAAGAGATAAGGCCAACACCTGCTCTCCCCACCTCCTCTGCTCTATACCATGAGCACTGGAAAAACTGTCATATTTAAGGACTCAGACTATTAGGCTTGTTGGGAACAAGGAAATTAAGAACTAAGT